TCCTTTCATTTCCTCTCTCTGTCCCTAAAAGAGCTTGTCATCTGGAGATCTCCGGCTGTCTGCTCTACTTCCTCAGGCCGTCCATGTTCCAGGCAGATGGCCTAAAGGCAGAGGACACTCTTAAAACATCATTTCCAGAAATCCACTCTGTGGTATCTTATTGATTAGAGTTGTGTTCTCTGCTTACCTGCTATAATGGAAGCTGGAAAATGTAGTTGATGTGGAGATAATTACAATGAGCAAAACTGGGGGACAGAGATCAGTCTCCATCACAATGATGGAGCCCAGTCATTCTGTGGGAGGCAATGTTCAAGGAATGGGTACATGACTGTTCTATTTTTGAGGTCTTTCTTACGCGTTGTGTCACTAGTTTTTTAGGTAACAGGATGATGTAAATAAAAGCGAAGTGCCTGCTATGGTCTGAATGTGTCACCCCAAAATTCACATTTTGAAATCCTAATCCTCAAGATGACAGCATTAGAAGGTGGAGCTTTTAGAAGAGGATTAGGTCATGACTGACTTTAATGCCCTTATAAAGGAGACCCCACAAATTTAGCTTGTCTGTTTCACCACACAAAGCGCAGTGATGTAGACTAAGAAATGGGCCTCCCCCAGTTGCTAAACCTGCCAGAGCCTCTAGAACCAGGAGACATAAATTGTCACAGTTTCGGGCTTTAGAGATTGATAGGGTACTCTTCAAGTCTACTCACAAAAACTGCTATAGTTTACTACAAACTGTGATCAAAATGTGGAAGTCAATGGATTTTTCAGCCAGGGGAAAGACATAATAGGTAAAAGCTTGGTGCTTCTACATGTTATTTTGAAAATAACTGTCTTAAAACTTGGACCTCATTCCTAGGAGACTTTTTACAGGACATCAGAACTTTACTACTGGTTACCCTTGAGTAAAGACGCAAGGCAGATTACAAGGAAAGCTTTACCATGGTACTTCATGCAGGTAGCTAGTGCTTATGTTAAGGGAAAAAAAAGAAGCTTAAGTTGCTCTGTAAGAAATTCAGACCTACCTGGGCTATATTAAATTATTCAATTGAATTATTAAAATTGAATAATTATCAATTTCCAGGAAGTTGTTTATAATTCTTCACTGTATCTATTTCTTTTTTTTTAAATTTTATTTATTTATTAGAGAGAGAGAGAGAGAGAGAGAGAGAGAGAGAGAGAGAGAGTGTGGTGTGTGTGTGTGGCCAGCTCAGCCC